CACATCGGTATGCTGTGGCTCTTAATTTATGTCTTGGATTGGGGCCTAACCGGTGCAGCGGTGGCATTTAATATCACTAGTTGGGGAATCACAGTGGCTCAACTTGTTTATGTTGTGGGATGGTGTAAGGAAGGATGGAATGGTTTATCATGGTTGGCTTTTAAGGATATATGGGCTTTTGTTAGGCTCTCCCTTGCATCAGCTATAATGCTTTGCCTTGAAGTCTGGTATATGATGAGTGTCATTGTTCTTGCTGGCCACCTTGATAATGCAGTCATTGCTGTTGATTCTCTGTCTATATGGTAAGATCATACTTTCATAGTGGAACTTAAATGCTGCATATGAAACCTGAACTGAAAAGGATGATGTGACTGAAATGAGAAACGTTAATAACTCTATCAAGTATGCAAAAAAAAAGGATCATGCAATCACTATCAAGCATTGTGAGAGTATTGGGGAACGTAGTTAGTTACTAGTACTACTGATAAGCCACAAATATTTTTGTATTAGTTATTGAAATTATGGATGATGTCTTATCCTTTCTCTAATACATTCAGTGATGTTTTATAGTATGAATTACAATGGGTGGGAAGGCATGCTCTTTATTGGAGTAAATGCTGCTATCAGGTATGCATCCAAAAGTTATGTCTTATTGTTATATATTGTGATTAATGAAATTCTAAGGCAGTTAGATACTAAGTTCCTTGTTCTAAGTCTTATTCTGGTCTATGTTATGTGGTTCACTTTTTTTTGTGTTTTACTTATTTTCAGTGTTAGAGTTTCCAATGAACTTGGACTTGGACATCCAAGAGCTACCAAATACTCAGTCTATGTGACAGTCTTTCAGTCTCTATTCATTGGGATCTTTTTCATGGCTGTAATTTTGATAACTAGAGACTATTTTGCTATCATTTTCACCAGCAGTAAGACTGTTCAAGATGCGGTCTCGAAGCTAGGATGTCTCCTTGCTGTGACAATGGTATTAAACAGTGTTCAACCAGTGATTTCAGGTATAATGAAATAGTTGGCATCTTCCTCATGAAGTGTAGCTAACAAGCCATCCATTTATCTTATCCTATTTGTAATTAGAAATGCTGAAATCATTGTTGCAGGTGTTGCTGTTGGAGGTGGGTGGCAGGGGCTTGTGGCTTACATCAATATTGGTTGTTATTATTTGTTTGGCCTTCCAATGGGGTTCCTTCTTGGTTATAAAGTAAATCTGGGGGTTAAGGTATGTGTACTCTGTTTCTATTTCCATCAAATCCTCATTCAAAATTGGAACAAATTCATGAATTTGGTATAACATAACTAGTTTTTCTCCATTCAGTGGATCCACAAAAATAAGAGAAAGAAATAAAGAACTGTCCCTAATGATTGTGAATTTTGTTTCATGTTTAGGGATTATGGGGAGGTATGATATGTGGAGTAGTTCTCCAGACCTTGATACTCTTATTGATACTTTACAAAACCAATTGGAAGAAAGAGGTAGGCAATGCTGCTTCTCAATCTCTGAAACTTCTCCAAGCATCTTTCTTCTAGTGCTACTGAAATGTGATACCTTGCATTATGATGCCCTTTTGCATTATGAGACTGGAAATGTGATACTTTACTAATTTTGTTACAAGAAAACCAATAGCAAATTGCTACATTGTTGAGACTGTTCTCTGCTTATAGATAGGTTTTCACATACAAAGCAACACAGTCACTCTTTTTCTTTATCATCCTTAACATTTTCCTTGTTGTATAGCTTGCTTTAGTTATTGGCTCAATTAACTCTTGCCAGATTCTCATTTGTAGGTGGAAGAAACAAGTCAACGAATGCGTAAATGGGGTGGGCAAGACAACAAAGTTGATAATGTAGTGGCTTCTACATAAGTTCTCCACTCTCTCAGTTGATTTTCAATTGTACTCTTTAGTAAACTTAGGGCCAATGATGTTTTGTTAATAATCATTCTCATCTTCTTATTGTTTTTTGCTACCGAACTTCTTTTTGGTGAATGTACATATTTCTTGGGTCAATAAAACATGATCTCTCTAGCTATCTTATTTAGAAAAGAGCAATGTTGTTTGTTTGATGCGAAAAGAGCAATGTTGTTTGTTTGATGCGAAAAGAGCAATGTTGTTTGACTACTAAAGATGTGATTTATAACTATACAATGCAATACATTCATTGGATGGTCAAAATATTTAGAGAAAGATCACAAACCCATATGCTTATTTTTATAAGCTATATATTCATAAACCCAAATAACTCTATAACTCTTCAAATGCCCTTTTGGATTTCAAGATGAGGATTGTAGAGATGATTTCTATTTGGGCTGTTAAAGTATTTGACTCTTAAATCACATAAATTTCAAAACCATTAAAATAAAACTAATCAAGGAACAGGTCCCTTAAGTTTATTATTACAACCTGCAAGATTGAAGATAAGTGACAACTTAAGGATAAGTTGAGTTCGCAAAAAGAAGCCTTTAGAAATGTATTGTTCCTAATATTCTGTTGGGACTTGGGTGCTTCAACATGAATCCAGTTGAAATAGGTTACATTTGAAAGCAAGAATCAGCAATGAGTATGGAGCATTGATCTCGTAGGGTATAACATTTTATAAACCAACATTCCCAGGTCTTTGGTGTCACTGTTTGTAGAAAAAAGCTTCTAGCCAAGTTTTGTCATCATTTTCTTTGAGATATTAAGAGCTAAAATGTCTGTAATAGGAAAGATATGGAAGTGACTGATAAAAAATGAAGAAACACCAATGAGAGGATGAAGGAGATTATTGAGTGGAAGCAGCGAAGTTGGCAGAACTGAAAGTGGGAAATTGTTTTTCCACCTGTTTTCGGAAAAGTCCCACACTGGGCAGTATAGTGTGTGGAGTAAAGTGACTATAATATAAAAAGGAAAGCCATTGAGTTTGAAAAACACGCAGCCGTGTGGTAAGCACAAAGCGAACTATTCTTTCGCCTTTTACTAAAGAATACCGTGTGCTTGCCACTTTAAACGGCATACGCTTATTTTTTGAAGAGTTTTCCTTTACTGGAAGGCTCTGAAGATGTAGTACGAAACTTTTTAAACCCTCAATTTTTGTAGGAAGTATTCTTCTTTATCTTTAGACATAATAACCCCGTTTTTTTTGTTAACCTTCAATTTTTGTATGAAACTTTTTAAACCTTCAATTTTTGTATGAAACTTTTTAAACCTTCAATTTTTGTATGAAACTTTTTAACCTTCAATTTTTGTATGAAACTTTTTAAACCTTCAATTTTTGTATGAAACTTTTTAGACCTTCAATTTTTGTATGAAACTTTTTAGACCTTCAATTTTTGTGGGAAGAATTCTTCTTTATCTGAAGACATATAACCCCGTTTTTTTAACCTTTAGTTTTTGGATGAAACTTTTTAAACCTTCACTTTTTGTAGGAATGATTCTTCTTTATCTGAAGACATATATAACCAATGTTATTAAAACCGTACCGGTTATCAAACCGGTTAGGGTAGTGGTATAGTGGTTCAACCAGTGGTTCAGTAATTAAATCGCATGCCGGTTAAACCAGACATACTTGCTTATATATATATATATAAACCTATAACACAAAATTTCAAATAAGTAGATATTCATATTTATAATCCATATTCATAATTTACTTCAAATTCACACAAATAACCAACATTAAGTCTTTAATAAAATCAAAGTCTAAAGTACAAAACATATATTTATCCAAAATTATCACTTAACAAACGCAAAATACAAATAAATGACCCAAGTATCAATCATTGAAGTTGAAGAATTGGTGAAGAATTGAAAATTTGAAATTAAAAAAAAAAAAAAATTAATGTACAAACCAACCGGTTTACCGGTTTTCACCGGTTTTGACCGGTTTTCAACCGGTTTTGACCGGTTCTATTGCATATGCGGTATAACATACGTATCGTACCGGTTAGGGGTCCGGTTCACCGGTTTTCCGGTTGAACCGGCCGGTACGGCACGGTTTTCAAAACTATGTATATAACCCCCCTTTGTCTTTTTGTTGTTGTTGCGGAAATCAAGTTTTCTGTAATTATAACACTAAAAGAATGGCTTCGTTAACTTTCAAACCTTCAATTCTTGTAGTTAGTACTGTAATTATTTTTAGATTCACCTTACCCCGTTAACTTTCAAACCTTCACTGTAATTAATAACACTAGAAGGATGGGTATTTATAACACTAAAATAGTATGGATTTGTTATAAAGTACTTAAAACAAAAGGTGTTGATCTAAAATATTTTGCAAGTGCGATTAAAATCTAACGGTTAGATAAGATAAAAGCTCACTTCAAGGTCAGTTAGGTTCTTCAGAAGTTACCAAGATATAATTTTAAATTTTTTGTTAAAATAGATTGGGCTAAATTGAGTTTTGCAATCTGTTCATGGACAATGCTATGTAGCTTTGTTATTTATGAAGCAGCTTATGCCTTGAACATATCATCACATTTTTTTATTTGAAAGCTCACTCCAAGGGTCAGGCACTAGGGAAAATGGTTGTGGGTTCCTTTGTGATTTCCCCGGGTTCATAATGAACTCAGAAAGGTGCGATCATAATCATAATGTACTAACTTTGGACTTATAATCACACCTAGTGCAAAGAAAAAAATAAACTAGTATTCAGAAGCACTAAAACAAAATTAATAAAGAAATAATTTGAGAAGGGTCTCTCAAGTTTATTGCAACTAGTTGTATTGTTCCTGGAATATGATGTGCTTTGAGATATTATGAAACTATGAAAAGTATGCAGTAGGAGAGATATACGAAAGTGAGATCAGAGATGAAGCATCGCTAATTTGTGATTGTGGATGAGGGAGAGTCTTGACTGTGGAAGCGGCGCAGCTGACATTAGCAACAGTGAAGAGTCTGACTGGAAATTGTTTTACCTGTTTTCGACTAAAGTCCCACACTGGGCAGTGTATTTTCTGGAATAAAGTTGATATGATATAAAAGCAGAGAGCTACCTTGTGTTTTAATCATGGAGCCGTGTGGTAAGTACAAAGCGAACTATTCTTTCGCCTTTTACTAAAGAATACCGTGTGCTTGCCATCTTAAACGGCATACGTTTATTTTTGGGAAAGGCTTCCTTCTCCGGAAGCCCCAACAATTCTAGTTCAAATTGTTCTTTCTGTTTTTCTAACGCAATACAATTAATTATAAATACATTTATTTATCTTGAGTTTTTTACCTTTATCCCAATACCTGAATCTGTCACTAAGTTTCAAAATCATCTCAGTCTTTCTTACAGTCTAACGTTGAAAGAAGTTTCTCACAAGATTGGCCACACTCAAACATTGTTGGTTTTAATTTTGTAATAATGAAATCTCTACCCCTCTGCACTGGAATAGCTAATTCTAAAGAATTATAGAGTAAAAAATATTATTCATTTCTTCTTCCCAAGAAACCCATCTTTCCTATCCCTCACTAATCAGATTCCATTATTCTTCCTTGGTGCGGCTGTAACGGGTTATTTTCTGGGAAAAGAGAGTAGTAATCCATTTTGTTAATCACGGTAAATAAACTAATCTTCATCAATGTTATTCACCGTAAAGCAAGGCATTAAAAGTTTAAAGCAATTTTGAATATGGAATTATAACCTTTTGAGTCTCTGATTTTTGAATGAGAATATTTGAGATCATTGTCACACTAACCTTCACCTTCGGTACTATTAGTTTAAATTGAACCATAAAGCTTTAACCTTTAGTAGTAGCGTTCAACAAAATGGAACACTTTATTGTAATCGCTGTTCCTCATTTATCATATTCTTATTACCCAGTATAAGATTTGCACTCAATTATATTCCAAGGTCATGTTTCACAAGAGAAATCAAGTTATCGCTAGAGGGTATATTGGCATATGAATTAAAAGATTTGCGAAGTGCTTAGGCCATTTTATTGTTGATTGATTAGAGGCTTCAATACTCTATTTTATTTACTAATAAATAAACAAAACTTCATCAATGTTAGTTACAAAATAATTAATACACTATTATAGTATTGAACAATAGAACAATACATTGTAGAGTATTATATTTATCACCATTCTAGTATTAAATAAAATGACATAATATATTGATGAATAAAACAAATATATATGGTGCGTCTAATTGGGGATGTGGTTTGTTTTGGTTGAGGCAGAAGAGAAATGCAAGCAGCGGTGAGTTTCTGTCACTCTCTCAACTTCTCCATCCAACTCTCTCTCTCTCTCTATTTCTTGAATTCATTTCTTTCACTTTTTCAACGGACGGTTAGTTAGGCTTGATTCTTGAATAACTCCAAATAGTAATTGAGTTAGGTTTTATTCATTTTCCTTGGTCAATGAAGTATGTGGAAGAGACTGAGGAAGCTTCCGATGGAAGTGGAAAAAGGAAAAGGTATACTAATAATCATGATCATGATACTAGGAATAGGAAAAGGCGTAGTGGATCGAGCCGAGCCGATAGTGATGACAACAATGACCAGTTGAAGAAGAGGGTAGAGGAGGAGAGTGCACTCCATAAGTTGAGCACTTGGTATCAGGATGGAGACTTGGATAATAACAATAATGTAGATAAGACTGGCCATTTGGATCCTCATAATAGGACTAGGACACCTGATATGACTGCTAAATTGCATCAAGACTCACAAAACTCACACATACACTATGAAAGAAGTAGCAGCTTTAAAAGGAATGACCTTGAAAATGATGTCTATAAGGATCATACATTCAAGGGACGAGATGATACTTGGAATGACAGGAACAAAGATCATGAAAGTTCTAAAGAAATTTCGAAAAGGAGGCGACCAAATAGTATTGACAGGGATTCAAAAGGCGATCACAGTGTCATGGATCACAACAGAGATTGCCAGTTGCCTAGACATGGTTATGATAGGATCAACAACGAAAGGCCTCATGGTCGGGCTGGTGGTAGAAAACATATAATCAGGGGGGAAGCTGTTAAAGCAACATCAAAGTTTGGAATTTCAAATTACAATTATGATGTGATAGAGATCCAACCCAACAACCATGGGAAAACAGAATCTGTTTCCAACCTTCCCAGGAGAACTGAATCTAATCAACAGTGCAATGCCAAATCGGGTCCTAATGATGAAGAATGGGCATATGGTCAGGAAGAAATATCAAGACGGAGCGATTCATCTGGTTCAGGGTTACCAAGTGAAGATATGATGGAGAGATACAGTGATGATGACTATGATGTTCATGGAGGAAGAGGAAGAGGTCAGAAAGGTGTTGTATCTGGTCGTAGTATTGGTGGACAAAATTCTTGTAGTGGTGGTTCACAGCCTCAATATGGAAACATGGAATCGGGATCCTTTAACAGAGTTGGTCCACAGGGAATGAAAGGGAACAGGGTTGGCAGAGGAGGAAGGATTAGGCCTACTGGGAGAGACAACCAGCAGGTCGGACTGCCATTGCCGATGATGGGATCGCCCTATGGACCTCTTGGCCTGCCTCCACATGGGCCAATGCAACCTCTTACCCATGGTATGTCACCTGTGCCAGGTCCACCAATGTCCCCCGGAGTCTTCATTTCTCCATTTCCTCCAGCTGTTTGGCCTGGGGCTCGAGGTGTTGATATGAATATAATGGGTGTACCGTCTGCAGTGTCTCCCTTAACCCCGGGGCCATCGGGCCCAAGGTTTAGTGCTCCTAACATAGGGAACTCACCAAATCCTGCAATGTATTATAACCAATCAGGCCCCGGAAGGGGAATTCCCCCTAGCATTGTTAGTCCTGGTTTTAATCCCACAGGACAGATGACTCGAGGAACGCCACCTGACAAACCTCAAGGGGGATGGGTTCCTCCTAATAGTGGAATTCTTCTTAAAGCTCCTTCCAGAGGTGAACAAGATGATTATTCTCAAAACTTTGTTGATACTGGTATGCGGCCACAGAATTTTATTAGGGAGCTTGAACTCACAAGTGTTGTAGAGGACTACCCTAAGCTTAGGGAGCTTATAACGAAAAAAGATGAGATTGTGACAAAATCGGCTTCTGCTCCTATGTATTATAAATGTGATCTGAAAGAGTTTGAAATGTCTCCAGAATTCTTTGGAACAAAGTTTGATGTCATTCTTGTAGACCCCCCATGGGAGGAGTATGTGCACCGTGCCCCTGGTGTTGCTGACCATATGGATTACTGGACATTTGAAGAAATCATGAATCTGAAGATTGAGGTATGCTTTTGTTCTGTTTGCACCACTCATTCTCTTGTTAGGCTTGTTTTAGTCTGAGCATTTTCATCATCACATGAAATCCTTTATGACTTACTGAATTAACTGGTTACGCTAAGTGTTTTTAATACTCTATGCTGCAATTGAATGATAAGGTTACAAATGTTGTATTGAGCTTTTGCTAACCTTATAAATTGGATTTTTTTGGAGCGCTTCTCATCATATAAATGATCTAGCCAGAGTTTGTTAAAGAGATATTTGTATAAATTAGATTTGTCTGATATATTAATACATAATGCCACCTTCCCTTTGATTTCCTTTTATAAGGGTGTCTTTTGAATTAGACATCTCATTCGGTTTCCTTTTTTCTTAAGGCCATAGCAGATATCCCTTCCTTCATCTTCCTTTGGGTGGGTGATGGTGTAGGCCTTGAACAAGGTCGTCAATGTCTAAAGAAGGTACACAATCTTGATGTTGGAATTGCCATCATGATTTAGCTCTAATTGTTGGTTATTTTTCTTATCATATCTTATTGATGTCCTCTATTGCTTAATCTCCTTCTTTGTATTCTTTCTTCATGGGGGTTGGGTGTTTTCAGTGGGGATTTCGTAGGTGTGAAGATATATGTTGGATAAAGACAAACAAAGGTAATGCTACTCCAGGACTGCGGCATGATTCACATACTTTGTTTCAACATTCAAAGGTCAGTTAAATATAATCTCATCTACATCCCCTGCTTCATTTTAACATTTGAGCTTATATGCAGTTATTTGATTCTAAGTAAATATAATAATCATCCTTTTTGGAACTGTTTTGTTGTGGTTAAGGAACATTGCTTGATGGGCATAAAAGGAGCTGTTCGTCGAAGTACTGATGGCCATATAATACATGCCAACATTGACACGGACGTACTTATTGCTGAAGAACCTCCTTATGGTTAGTATTATCAATTGAGCATATAAAATAAAAAACCTTAGCTGTCTTCATACTTCAATTTTGAGGGTAAGCCTCAGTACAATGGTAAGGTTGTTCTTGAATGACCAAGAGGTCACAGACTCACAGGTTCAAGTCTTGGGAGTAGCCTTCCCACTTGCAGGTAAGGCCACATACATGTATCCTCCTCAGACCCCACTAGGTGGGAGCCTCGTGCACTATGCTGCCCTTTTGTATTCATACTTCAATAGTTCAATTTACCTTCTTTTTTTACATATATATGGTCTTCATTTTTTTTGTAAGTATTTAATCTTAAGATGAAATAGGTATGTAACTGCAATGACAATAAAACCCTTTCCTTGCTAGGTGGGGTTAACACATCAAACGAAACCTTTGTTCAGACAAAACCATGTTTTTGTACAGGCTATTTAGATCAAGGTCTTTTTACACTGTTTTCCTTATATTTTTCCTTGGTCTTCATTTGATGAAGTTTTCTTATGGGGGCCTCTATAGGTTTTCTTTTATCATTGATAAACCGTATTTGGTGAGATTATGTCATGTTATCATCAATAGTTACTACTCCAAATAGGAATCAGCTGCAAAGCAACAAAATAATATTGGAGACCAGAATAATGTGAGAAACATGCAATTTTACACGGGATCAGACAGCAGGCCCAACATCTGGACCATAGAGGGCTTTAGATCCCACCTCCTTATACATATATTCCTTGTGTAGGCTGAAGGGATGCTCCAGTGGAGAAGCTCTTTGGCTTTTGGACATCATAGGAAGTTGAATAAGATAGCTCACGTCAATCAACAATGATTTTGTATGTTTCTTCCATAGCACTTTTTCATCAATCTTGTTTTATTTGATAACCATAGGTGAAGTGATTAAAAAAGACTTAAAGATCAATGCTTTGTCGATGAACATGATTTATGATAGAGCATTATGACGTTGTTCTATCCATATAGCCGACTCCACCTAGTGGGATA